GTAGGGAAATGTAATAGAGCGTCTAACTGCTATAACAACGCCAATGGCTTCACAAGTTAAGTTTATTTCTCTCACGTTACAACCAATAGCTGATAGGTGGTGGCAGTGATGATGGTAATGATGGGAGTGAGCATGGTTGTGGGGATTCTGCCACACACAGTTATTCAGAGACTGGAGTGCCTTTCATCAGTCTGTGTTGCTTTGCTCTCATCAGTACTTCCAAGTTCTGCCATGATCTTCACACTGAAACAGTAACTGAGGGAAGAAACTGTAGAGGATTGTGCTGGAGAGTACTTTCAGGGCAGGGCCTGGGAAATAGGTGTATCATTTTTTACCAGTATTCTGTTGGCCAGAATTCTTTCACATGTTCCCACCTAATTGCAAAGAAGTCCTAATCTAGCTGTGTGCCCAGGAATAAAAGGAAAATCGATTTGGTGAACACACAGTAGTCTCTGCCACAGCTTACTCTTCTGACCACTGTTCCTCTCTGTGGAATACAGTTCTCAAGGAAGGTGGGGAGATGCTCCATGGTCCCTTCCAGCTGAAAGTCTATGATCTCTGACTTAGATGATCAGTCTTCCCTATCAGGTTAAGCTGTGGGACTTTGTAGCCTGGTGATATGAATTAACAAAGTTTATAAATACTATTCCCAAATGTAACAGGATCTGAATGATCTCAATAAAAAGATGTAATGAAGAATGGGAGTTAGGGCAATCAACTGGCCATAAGAGTTCTGGAATATCAAAGAATGCCACTATATCTTCTTATTATTATTGCTGTATAGCAAATTACCACTAACTTTATGAGTGAAAACAACACCCATTTATTATCTCATGGTTTCTATAGTTCAGAAGTCTGGATAGGCTCAACTATGACCTCTCACATTTTGGAATTTTGTTATTGAAGCATCCCATTTCTGGTTCAAGTATATGCATTAGGGTAGGCTAGCTGCTATAAAAAATATGCCTGAGCCTCAGTGGCTCTATACACTAACATTTTTATTTCTTTCTCCTATCACAGTTTGATGTTCTGAGTGCCCAAAGACCCAAATCTATTTGGCGGTTCTGTCTTCTCAGAATCCTCTGATTTGGATAGGCAGAGAGAAGAGTAAAGGATGTGTAAAATCTTGTGTAGATGAGTTTGTTTTCAAGGAACTGGATCCACATTCCTGTGCATCAAGCTTCAACAACAACAAAAAAGCAGTCTGGCTCTGTAGCCTACTGGTTAAGGGAGTCAAACCTCACATGGTGGTTTGGATCTTGGTCCTGGTGGCTTGAAAAATATCAGGTATATGCCCCCAATCCTGACAGGATGGAGAAATAAGAATTGTGATGTGACTATGCCCCATGGAGGGAGTTTCTCTCTCTCTCTCTCCTTTTTTCTCTGTCTCTCTCTGGTGAGCACATGCAATTAAAAAGAAAGACCAGAAAATGTTGTCAGGCTGAGGAAATCAAGTTAGTGAAAATTCAGTAGTCTTAATCACAGCAAAATGATTCATAGGCCAGGAAAGGACAGAAAATGAGGATCAGGATTGAGGGTTAGGGACAGAAGCAAAGGAACTGATCCAGCCTGTAGACAATGGTCAAGGTTTGGGCACCTGTGACTTGGTTCTGGGAGGCACTCATATTCAAAGGGTATCTTAACAGTTGGAGCATTGTGGCTTAGCACTACAGAATGAGGAGGCATTTGACTACTGCCAAAGGTTTGGAAATGTGCTTTTATTTTCAAATTCAGGTATGTGACACTCTACAGTTCAATGCTAGCACACCTGTGTGAGGCTTAACAACATTAGAAACTGACAGCCGGTGACACACAAATCCAGCCTCTCCTTCTCCATTTACTCCACCACGTTGTACATGGGGAGCCATATACATGGCTTTGGGTAGCCAGAAAGTGAAGACTCTTTTAGGAGGAGACATCAACAATAGCATATACAACACCTCACTGCCATTAGGTTGGTGACCCAACCTAGTGGTAGGTAGTCAGTCCTAGGTCAAACAGAAATGTCAGGAGGGTTGGGAGGATCGATTTGGAAGATTTTTAGAAGCCCTTTTTATTTCAGATCAATGTCAATGTTGGAAATACAGGGCCTATTTCTCTCTACTTCACTACTGCTTTGGCAGTGGCTCCAACCACTTCAAATTTATCTTTGTTTTTCAGAAAGATAGACTGACAAGTATCTTTTTCAGCCATGCCCTTTTAAGTGTGGCCACTTTTACAGTCCCTTCTGGATGTATCTTTTTCCTCTATCTCCCTTACCCAAAATAGAGTATGAGGGGGGTCTTCAAAAAAATTCATGAAAAATGTGTATTATGAAAAAAACTATGTATGGAAATTTATTTATTTATTTATTTATTTATTTATTGACACCATAATAAACTCATACTTCAATTCTATTTTTCCACAAACCCTTCGATGTCCTCTCACAGTATGGGCCAGGGCTCGGGTCTGAAAATATTCTTATGGCTTGTCTGTGGAATAGCTGGAGGCTAGGAAGCTCACTGTACCTGCTCTCTTAGTCTTTTTCTCACCCAAGAACAATGGTGGAATCTCAGGGCTAAGTGAACAACAGGCCCACCCAGCAGGGCCCTTCTGTAAGGGAGTCTGAGATCAGACATGGCCTACCTAGAGTCCTGCTCCACAGCTGCTCATCTGGGGCTCCATTCATATCCTGTTTTCAGTTCTGAGGGCCTCATGTACCCAAAGCTCATTCAGTTGTGTCTGGTTCCCTGGAAAAGGCCAGGTAACCATCTTCCTGTGTCCCCAAAGCCCCTCTGCCCTGCCCTGCACCTCTTTACCTTAATGGCACATCCTTGGTCAACCCTGGCATGGGCTTCTCTCATGGCCATTTGATAGCCACTGTCAAAGATGCCCCTTCAATATGTAAGCTGTTTTAAAATGGAATCTGGTCTAGAAGATTCTCTCCACAGAGGGCAATTGCATTGAACCCAGTCCTTGAGTTTGGAAATGGTGTTGCTAGTCTAGTCTCATTCCTGAGTTTGGAAATGGTGTTGCTAGTCTAGTCTCATGCCTGCTCTCTCAGAGTAGATAGAGAAATACTATAATAAGGTGTGGTTAAGAAAGGTGTTACTTTCCTCCTTGAGAAGTGCTGGTGCTGGTACTTGAAAGCATGAAAACGTCTGCTGCCCCCAGAGTGCTCTCCAGCACCTTAAATGTTTACTTGTTCTTTGGACCAATGTTTAATGACATCCTCCCAAGCATTAGCCAGCATCCTCGGCTCTTATCCAAGAGTTGGTAAGACATTGTTCTTGTCTTTGAGGGAAAATGTGGGGCAGACAGATCTATAAATAAATTATTGTAATATGCTATAGGTCAGGGTCAATGTTGAAAATATTTTAGAAGTGCAATAAAACACAGAGAAGGGCATGCGTTATTATGTTGGGTATGGTGGTAGATATGGCAGAGAGGTCGTCAAAGCTTATGTGTATGGGGGGGGGGGGTAATTTTTGCACTTCGTCCTGAAGAGTGACCAGAAAAAGAGAGAAAAAATGGCAGAAGAAAATTAGCTAGTAGAGTTTCATAGCTGTGAGGGAAACCCTTTAGTTTGAGAACAGAGATGGTTTGGCATAGCTGAAGGGTAACTTGGGGGAGTGAGACTGGAATGGAAGGCATTCCGTTAGGGGCCCATTAGAAGAAGCGATGTGGTATTGGGGATGAGAGCGCAGCCCCTGGAGCAAGACCACTTAGGTCTGAGTGCTGGCTCCATGATTTATAAGCCAGGTGTCTTTGGCAAGTTACTTGTCTTTTTTGTGTTTCAGTTTCCTTATCAAGACATGGGAAGAGTACAACTCATGCCTTATCATTTTTTCTTTTTCCTTGAGAACTAAGTGAATTACAACCTATACAATACTGAGAACAGTGCTTGGCTCACAGTAAATTCTATATGAGTGTTAGCAGCAAAGCTAACAATGTCAATAACAAAACAAAAACAAATGGGGAAAAAAAAACCCACATGAAAACTGATGAGGGCTGAATGAAGACAGTACTATAATGGTACAGAGAAAAGTCATTTGGAGATAGGATATGCTGCTTAAATTTTATGCTAAACAATCGAGAATGCTCTGAAACATTCACTGGGATTTCCAACCCACTTGAACTGAGGAACTAATGTGCAATCATGCTCTTGCATGTGGGCACATGCGCAGAGAGCACAACACCAAAAGCACACCATTTCTCATCATTCACCCAAGAGCTGGGTTAAGTGCTTCAAAAAGAGAGAGTAGGGAATAGATTGTGCTGTACAGCAGCTTAGAACTGGCATTTGAAATTGAGACCAGCAAGTTTGCCATTGAAGCCATGAGTTTTCAGTGTTTTTCAAACATCTTCAATCCATGTGGGGATCTTTCTAAACAGGTGACTATCCCACACCTAGTGAAAACCTGTGGGTTAGCTTAAGGTGCATCTTAAATTACCCAGAGGACACACTGAGAGCACACTTTTGGAAGGTTGTTGGCTTTGTGCACATGCCTGTTGTGTGTGTGTGTGTGTAGGTTGTGTGTACAGATACATACATAATAGTTCACATCTTCCCATTTCATTTCAAGCACTGGGCTAAATTCAGCCTATACATCTTTCTGAAAACCTTTGCCACTTTTGTAAAAAGAAATTTTGATTCTAAAGGGAGAAGGGGAGGCTGAAGGATAGTTATTAAAAATGAGATGGGAAATGGGAAGATATTCATGTTGCAACTCCAAATTCCAGGTCTGATCCTTAGGGTCAGTATTAGCCATTAAGTACAATTCTTCCTGATGACTGATTGCAGAGAGAAAAAAGGGAAGAGTGCCCCCAGTGAAGGCATTTTAGTTCTCTCCAGCCACCTAAGCTAGGGGCAGGAGACCTTCCCTTTAGTTAGAGTTCCTTAATGAAGGTGACTTCTTTGTCCACCAGATTCTTTCCCAGAGCAGTTTTGTTGATCCTCCAAGAACATCACTTGCTGTGTAGGAATGGCTTCCACAAAGATGCTAAGTGTGAAAGGAACCCTTCTTCATTCCCTGATGGGACAGGTGACAGCATGTCCCCACCTTGCCCTAACACACTGTACTTAGGAAAAGGATGGTAGGCTGAGCATACTGGAGTAGGGCTCCAGCTAGGCATCAAGTTTCCTATTACTCTGTGGGCTGCTCATGCTGGAGTCCTGAGCTCCACCAGGAGTCCCTCTGGGCTTCTGAGCAAGTGGATCTTCCAAGGGGCTCCTCGGCCTGCTCCACACAAGAGTTATAGGAGTTGTAGAGCCCAAGAACAACAGTCAAGACCAGCATCATAGCAGCCATTACCCAGATCACTCTCCAGTGCTGACACAGCTTGGGATACATGACGTGTAAGAAATGGACCAATTCTTCAAGTTTGCTGTCAATGAGAAAATAGGTGAAGAGTTTAATATACTGGGCACTATATGATACACAGACCCATCCTTTACCCTCTGCAGATACTGTCCGTGCTGTCCAGAGAAATGGTTCTCAATCTCAGCTGTGCATATAATCACTTGGCAGCAATTAGTCAGACTGCCCTAGTCCTACTGCATGAATCTCCAAAGTTATGATCTAGGAAGCTATAGTTAAAGTTCCTCAGGTGACTTGGATACTGCCAATCCATAGCCTTGATGTTGGGAGCCATTGTCCTAGAAGGCTCTACTTACTCATTTAATCATCCATTTACTCATACATGTCCTCATATATTTATGGAATTATGACTAATACCTGCCCTTTTGCAAGACTCAGGGTACAGGGTGGGCTGATCTGTATTCCTCTGTATCCTGTGTATTCCTACAGCATCTTTTTGAGCTGTCTTAGTGATCAATTCCAAGTTTTTATCTGCTCCTGCCTCAGCCCTCAAAGCACATTCATTGTTCTCACTTCGACATCTGTGTTGAGAGTAGAAGGACTGTGCTAAACTCTCAGAAGAAACTTGATGGTCAGGGATAAATGACAAGGATCAGATCAACCTCAACAGCTCACTTCAAACCACCCCAAAGACAATCAGAAGATGATTAGCCTCTAGCAACCTTGGGTAGTTTATTAGAGATGTTTCTCAACCTTATTTATACTCATTCTCTAATTTCTTCCACCTCCTCCTCCTTTCCTTCCCTCACTCTTTCTATCACCTTTTTTTTTTGCTGTGGTTTGAAAATGGTTTGTCCCCCCAAAACTTGCATATTGGAATTGGGCCCCCAATGTAACTGGATTATGGGGGCACCACCCTCATGAATAGATTAATGCTTTTTTCTAAGATGGAATGAGTTCTCTCATGGAAAGGGGTTAGTTTCTGCAAGAACAGGTTGTTATAAGAGTAAGAGGCTGCCTGCAGGTCTCTCTTTACATGTGCCTGGTCTTCCTGTTTCTGTCGGCCAGGTTATGACACAGGACAAGATGCTGGCCCTAGGTCTTTAGACTTTGTAGCCACCAGAAACACGAGCCCAATAAAACTTTCTTCTTTATAAATCACAAAATTTGTGGTATTTTTGTTTAGTAATACAAAGACACCCTTTGTCTCTCTCCCCTTCCATGTTCGCCTTATTTTCCTCTTTTCCCCTTCCCAAAGGCTTTCAATTTGTCCTTTCTTTGTGGCTTAGTGAATAGACATTTAGTCAGACAGCTCACGTTAAGGAGTCTATTCTAGAGCTCTCTGAAAAAGCTCTGCTAGAATTTCCTCCTGTTATTCTTTTTTTTTTTTTCTTAAATAAGGACAACAATAAAAATGAGAGTACCAAGGATAACCAAATCAAAGAGGTGGGGAAAGTGACAGAAGGGCTTTTTGAAGGTCTTGAAGCTCACACAGACACTAAAATACCCAGGCCATTTGCTAAGAAATAGAGCTCTAATGAACTTCGGGATAATAGTGGATTGATAATGTATAGGATAATATCTTTAACTGGACTAATGTACAGTGTATTTACACTGGGAAAATTCATTTTATAAGTTGTAATTATATACAGTGGTTGCATGTATAAAAATAAATTTAAAAAATAAAAAATAAATAAAGTCAGATTTGGGGCGGGCGTTGGGAAAAAAAAAAAGAGAGAGAGAGAATCACCAAAAATCTTCCTTAAAAAAGGAACCAGGTACTCAGCAGTGTCTGCCTTGGGTGTTAAGGACACAATGAGACTGACTGGTTTCTTTTCCTTGTGGAAATCCTGTCAGGTCATTTAGGCACAATTAAGTCAAGTGAGCACATTAGCAGATGTGAAAATGGCTGGCTATTTAACAACTGTGGGAAGGAAGAACTTGGAAGTTTGTTTTCGTTCAGCTCTATTTAGATTCTTTAGGTAATATTGTAGGCTATAATGGTGTCTTTTGGGCTATATATTCATACTCCAAAACAAGCACTAGAGTAGGGAGAATCCCACTCTCACCACTTCCTGAAGTGAAAACTGCGAAGGAGGAGGTGAAGATCTGGCTTCGTGACCCTTAGATGGTCACCCATTTCTAGCCTATAAAAGAGGTCAGAAATAGAGTAGACATAGAATTCCTTTGGAAGACAATTTCTGTTTGTTATAAGTAAACTCTTTTCTGAGAGTTGTTGGGAAAGTAAGAGAATCTGCCTAAATATCATCATAATCTCACAAAGCAGGCTTGAACAGGTGGAGGGGATGAAGAGTTTTACATTGCACCTTAGAGTCTCATTTCTTCAACATATTACATGTTGAAATGTAATGTCTGAAAACTGCATCGTCTGTTCCAGTATGGCTAAGACACTGCAGGAATTCTCGCCAAGTTTATTTAAGTGGACCCTATAGAGAGCAATATTTATAACATTACATTTTTACATATAACGGAGAAGAAACTCAAACAACAACAACAACAAACCTTTAGCATTTGATGTTGACTCTTTTAAATAACAGGTCAGCTGTTGGGCTTAGCCCAGTGTTTTCAAAACACTAAGTAGGATATAAAACTTTCAAATAACTTCAAACCTTGCTTACTAGGGAGGTGACAAAAAGTCATGGGGACATCATGTTGGAGTGCAGGTGTCTTCAGGGAACTGTGTGTCTAAGGAACTCAGGGTGGAGAACGATTGGCCTCAAAAAAGTCAGATTTCAGGTATAGTCCAACTTGGGTCACAGGGAGGAAGGAACCCCCTGGCTGTGAATGAGCAGTTTATAGGAGAGAATGTCAGTCCTTCTGGAGAAGATAAAGTCACACTGGGCCTGAAAAGGTGATGCTACCTCTCTGTACTGAAGGATGGGGCCCCTTCTGAAGGCTACGCTTGGGTCTGGTATCCATCACCAGAGGTACAGGCTATGTTTCCAAAACCAAAAAGTAAATCCGAGAGGGAGCAAAGGTTGGGAGAGAGAGAGAACAGGGCCTCTCAGGATCTGCAGGGCCAACAGGACTTCCTTATATGATGGATGCTAAGGGTGGCCATTGCCATGTGTTCATGACGAGGAGTGGGAGAGAAAAAAAACCAGGCATAGACTCACTGCTTCCAGGGTTTCAAGAAATGGGAGAGAGCTGCAAATAGCCTGAGATCAAATGAGCTAGATAAGGCTTACAGCCCTATGCTTTATAAACCAGGCTGTTTATATTCCATGTACTCTGTCTGTTTATTTCTCTTTTGTTCTTTCTCAGTGTTTGGGTATTAGAAGTTCCAGCCTGTCTTAGCTGTATTCAAGGAAGCAAAGGAAGAGCTTTTGTCCAAGCTTAAGCTTAGCTTCATTAAAGGGGAGGAAAGCAGTATGGTGGCCTAAAAATAAAGACAGAGGACCCGTAAGAGGGAGGTGAGACCTAAAGAGAGAAGATTTGTTGTATGGAGTAGAGGTTGTTCTTTCATTAGGAGAGGAAGTCTGTCTTAGCACAGGTTTGTTTTCAGTGGTGAATATGTCCCCCAGCTCTCCTATAAGGTGCTTCCTTGGAATAATGGGGTTATTATTAACCCATGTAGGCTGAGATATGTATGTCACTCTGGTTGAATCTTCCACTAACAACTGGGTTCTACTATGGGCTCCTATGTGCTTTGAAGCACCTCCATCTTGCCCTAATCTTCACTGTACTATCTTACTTTTTACATGTATGTGATTTCCAGCGTTTGCCAGCAATGAGCACAGACATATATCCTGTCCTGAATTCAATAACGGATAAGATAATTAATCATCTGTCTGGTGATCCCCTGGACTCCAGGATAGCCCAGGGGACTAAAAAAGATACTGGTGAAGTGTTTCAATTTATAAACTACTTTTATAAATATCAAAATTTAAGACTTGTGGTTAGAAAGTATGAATAGAGACAATAGGACAGAATATATAAAATTGGGGCTGTCCTGAAAACCCAGGACACAGGGCAGAATACCACTCCTGTAGCCATCAGCCGATGCTGTCCCTAAGCATGTACTTCTGTGGGATAATTCTAGCCTGCTGTGATTCAGATTTCATTCCCTTGTTGCATGGAGTGCCTTGGATCTAGATGAGTCTATTTCTGCTATTCTGCAGCCCTAAAGCCAACTAGTAGCACAAGTAGGACAAATGCAGGATTTAAACTCTCTTTACCTACATGTTATATATTTCTCCCTTAACTTAGAGGAAAATATACTTAAAATAGAAAATAGTTCTCAAGGAAAAAAAAAAAAAACACAAGTATTTCCACCCCAAAGTGAAGATACTTGAAAATGACCAATCTAGTTTGGTCAGCATGGAAAGGACCTATGGAGCCTCACCTTTGCCAGCCAGCTGAGTTTTCCCCTTGACCCCAATGTGTTCTCTGTCTTCTCCTTGTGAGAAATCCTCTCTAGGGCTTCAGGCCAACTCCCTTGGTCTTGGCTGTTTCATGGGGGATGGTCTGGAAGTAAACTACTATGGCTGGGCTAGAAGGGACTCCAGCCAGGATCCCAGTTCCTGAGGGCTCTTGATCACTGCTTGCCCTGCCCATGATCTCCTCTGACCTTTAGCTCTTGCTAATGTCTATTTACAACTAATAGTTCTTTGGGATTCCCTCTACCTCCTCCACACTATGGGTACCCTCTTGGTTTCTGTGGCCACTCACTTGGACCATACCCACTGCTGTCCTAGACTGACATCTCCAGAGATTTTATGTAATTAAATAATTAAGTGGCTTGGGTCCCATTTCAACCAGGGCTTGAGAAACAGGCTTCCCACCTGCTTCTCTGGTTCTCTTCCTCAATTTCTTCTACCTCTTCAGTTTCCTCGGGACTCTCATTCTTCTGTTCTTCTTCTTCCTCCTTTAGATCTTGAAGCTCTTTGGTCTTCTTTAGACCTTCCTGGTATCTGGAGGACAAAAAAGAAACACTGATTCAGGAACAGCCTGAGTAGAGCACCCTTTCCTGAGTTCCTCAGGGAGGGGATTCAAGCACCTCCAATCATTACACACTTCCTCTGGTTCCACACAACAGGAAAAAGCTGGGAAGCTCCACTGAATCCTGAGGTGGCTTGTGTCAGTACAATTTCCCCTCATTCCTCAGTCATCCTTCCTGTTTATGTGAAAATGTCACAAAACTGATGGGGGGGGCAGGGAAATGTGGGCACAGGGTCTCCTGACTGGGTTCTTATCCTATGAAACATTCTGTAAGGATAAGATTACATTTGCTCTCTGTGTAACTTCAGACCAAAAGTTTCTCACCTGTAAAACAGAGGGTGATGCCCATCTCACGAAGTGAGGCATTGGAATGATTTTCAGACGTGCCAGGCATATAGCTTGACCTACTAAGTGCCTTAGTCAATATTTACAAAGCCATGGTGAGGATAGAGGAAAGCTGTGGGTGAAAAGACAGGTTTTCCAGGAGAAAACCTCTAGTTTCCTTACCCAGAACTTGATTTGTGTTTACTTGTCTGATGCCTGAGTGCTGAACATGTATTAATTGGCTGGGGCAACTCTACCACTCTTATGTAATTGCCACACAGAAGCCCACAGGCTCTTCTCAGTGAAAAGGTGGCCTCTGATGAGCTGCAAGGACAGGAGAAGCTCATGGTGCAAGGCCTGGTTGGAATTAATTCTCTACCTTGAGCCTTTTTAAATGCTCTGTTTCTTTAGTGACAGATGACTGGCCAAAAGTGCTACTGAAGCTCAATTATGAAAGGGAGCAATGGGAGTGGGGAGTTTTCAGGAAGGAGGGATGATCAGGGCAGTTATAGGAAGCAGAGTCACAGCTGCTCCTGGGCATCATTGGCAGCAATAGGAATGCTTTGAGCACATGTCAAGAAGCCTCAGGCACCACCCAGAGGAACCCACTCAGAGCCCCTGACTTCCAGATCATTCTGGGCAGTCTAGTTATTATCTAGCCACACCCTCTCATCCTGCTTCCTCCTGACCTTCCTCTGGAACAGTCTTACTCTTTCCTACATAGTCCCTTAGGCAAGGAGTTCCTGCGGTCACTGGTTATTTCCCTAAAGCCTCCAAGAAACTGGAAAGGCCTGACGGAAGGTACCTTATGAGACCAGCCAGGTGCCCTTAGGGCAACTGGAGTTTGACTCACCCCTTGTTGTAAGCTTCTTCCTCCATCCTGGCCTTAGCCTCCTGACTACCTTCCTCCAGGTTGCTCGGAGTTGGGAGGGGAGCAGAGACTTCACAATCTGGATCCCCATTTGTCTTTCCACTAGTAAGAAGAGGGTAAATTCATTTTATAAGATGTAGTGATATACAGTGACTGAATGTATAAAATAAATTACATAGTAATTAAAAAGAAGAGGGAAGTACAGGGCATCACTTCAGGGAGAGATTGAGCCTCTGGAAACAAAACCATGTCTTTGACCTGATTCCCAATTAGAACTGAGGAAACTCAGGTTCTTTCATTGGCTTTCAGATGTTTTCAGTCTTTCTACCCCAAGACAAGATTTTCTGAAGGCTCAAGAATCCTCCCAAGTCCACTAAATGCTGCATCAGCAATATTTTCCTCATGCTCCCAAATCTACCTTTATTCTTATTCCAGGAGGTGTTGGGAGTGGGCAGACAACAGTCGGGAGCCCCACGGCACTGACTGAAGGAGGATGGAGGCAGACCAAAGTGTTTAGGATCATTCTATCCCAGTCATCTACCTTTTGCTTTCTGATCTTCACTCATTCCTTCAAATGTGTATCAAATATCAATTTAAGTCATGAGCACATTGTAATATGCTAGGACATATTAGAAAATAAAAGAATGGTTTTTACCAACATGGAATTTAGCAGAAGAGAAAGTCCCCCAAAAGAATATATATAAATAAAATTAGGAATTGTGGTATGGCCATACCCATTGGCAGGGTGCTTCTTCCCTCTGTCTCTCTGGCAAGTGAACCACTCTATGAAAATTTTTAAAATTTTGAGAAAAATGTAATCAATTACAAACTGTGGTAACATTCATGAAAGATACAAACTCTTCAGCAACATAAAAGAGGAAGAGAATTTTTAGAGTGAATGGTTAAAAAAGGTCTCTTGGGCCAGCCCCATAGCCTGGTCATTAAAAGATCTGGATCCCGCATAACTGACTATAGTCTGAATCCCAGCCCTGGCTTGAAAAAACATGCTGGGGCTTGTGTCCCTGTATGCCCCCAGTCCTCACAAGGTGAAGAAGTGAAGGAGAAGGGATTGCAGCATGACCATACCCCACTGGGGTGTGCATTCTCTCTGTCTCTGAGCATACACGCCTTCTGGCAATTAAAAAGAAAGGAAGGAAGGAAGAAAAGAAAGCAGGAAGGAAGGAAGGAAGAAAGGAAGGGCCTCTCTGGGGCCAAACAGTGGCACGGGGTAGGACATGACACTCAGTGAGGTGACCAGTTCATAGCTAGAGATTACCCGAGAGTGCTGGCATGTGTGTGCCTGTGATCCAGGCTGCTGGAATATAGTATTAAGACCCAGTTGGGAGTGATGTATTTCTGTTTCTGTCTCTCTCTTTCTCTCTGTCTCACTCATGGAATAAAAAACTTCTTAAAAAAGAAAAAAAATAGAAAAGTTCTCTCTGAAGTACTGAAATTGAAGCACAGATCTGAAAGGTGAAAAATCAGCCATTATTTGTAACAGGAAAGATCATGCCAGGGAGGACATGTGAAAACTCTGAGACACATACACTCTCTGGGATGTTAGAGCAATTGAAAACAGGCAATGTGGCAGGAGGTAACTTTCAAGTTTGTTTATTTCTTTCTTCCATGAGCAAGGTGAAGATAGATATAGATCTATTTTTTGACAGAGAGAGAGAGAGAGAGAGAGAGAGAGAGAAGGAGACCCCCAAACAGGGTCTTCATGCTGCAATCCATCACCAGCCTTAGTCAGCCCTGGATAGTAAGCATGCATATGTCTGGTATTTTCAGGGAGGTGTCTGAATATAAACATGGAGCCTTTCCACAGGAGTCAACTTCAGAGAATGTTGTGTTACTGTCATGCTACTTGTCTGGGTCCAGAGTTAACTTTTGGACAAGATAAATTTGCATTTCCTATAAGATATCCAAGTGGAGATGTCAAGTAGACAACTGAATACACCAAATGAGAAGGCTGAAGCTATTCATTTGGCATCATTTGGTAGAATATAGATGATATTCAAAGTCAGAGGACTGGATAAGATTTCCAAGAGAGATAGCATTAAGAAAGATGAGAAGAGGACCCAAGACCCATTACAGAGTACCTCTGAACTTGGCTCTGATAGGAAAAAAGAGACCTACAGAGAAGACTGAGAAGTAGCAACCAGAGATGAAGGGGGGAAACCAGAAGAGTGTAGAACCTTTAGAGGGAGGAGAGGAGGGTAGGTCGAGAAGGGAGAGTTATGTGTCACATACCTCTGAGAGTCTGAGGGAATTGAGTACAACCAAGTGACTGAAACTTGATAAGACGGAGGTCAAGAGGAGCCTTAAGGTAATGATAAGACCCCAAAACTGATAGGAATGGACTCATAAAGAATGGAAGGTAATAGAGGAAACCAGAGGCATAGTGACTTGAATGTGAGGGGAGTAGAGGAATGTCTTGGAGGGAGTGAATAGTTGAAGAAAAGGGTGAAGGATGAAAACACATTTAAATGTAGATAGAAATGATCCAGTAGAGGGATGAAAGGAAGGGGGTGACCAGAGGAACAAAGTCTTTGAAAAAGGAAGTAGGAACAGACCTTAGAAAAGCAGAGAAACCTCTCCTTGGTTATAACAAAGGGAAAAAGATGAAGAAAGTGGGGTGGGGTCTGGTGTAGGAAGATGAGAAGGCTCTCATTTGACTGACAGCTTAAAAATACTCTCTAAAGTGGAAGGCAAGGTATCTGCTAAGAGTGAGAGGTGGAGGGACCAAAAAAGGTTTGAGTCACATGGGGAAGCAAGAAAACAAACTCTAGAAATCATGGGGTGGGGGGGCAGCTGGGTAGTGCTGAGAGCACACTTGAAGTGTGGAATCACAAGTTGAAAGGAAGTGTCATGACAGCTATGGCTTCTTTATAAATCTTGCTGTCCACCTAGGTGTCCAGCATTCCCAAGGGAGTAATGTTGTCATGGAGGAGCCCTCAAACAAGAGAAAACTGTGAGCCCTACCTTCCAGCCAGGCCTCTGAAAGATCACAGCTGCCATCCCTCCCTGACCTCTCAGGCAGGGTTTATGAGTGAGCCTTGTATCTCCTCCTCATTCTTGGCATCAGTTTCCCATCTTAGTTTTCCTCAGACCTTGTAAAATTTACATTTCATCAGGCTGGGAACCAAAACCCATTGTGAATAAGAAAGATAACACTCTAAAAATACCAGCTATTCATAACATTTCTCCTTTTGCAAATTACATTATCCACTCCCTCTCATGTGACCTCTGCCTAATGTGCAGTTTCCTATTTGTCCAAATGATTGGAGCAGGAGAAGAAAAACATAGCTACGGCCAAGGGCAGAGAAAGTAATTCTTTTATTAAACATATTTATATCTTAGAAATGAAATATTGGTATTAGACTTTGGATTTTTTAAAAATCTACAGCTATCAACTGTAGAGGTTCCTTAATGTTAAACACATATGAAATTTTAAAGAGTGTAGTATAGAGAAAAAGAACTCATCTGAGGCAAACCTGGGTTCAAATCCCAGCTCCAACACATGCAAATTACTTAACCTTCCTCAACTTCAGCTTCTCCAACTGTAAAAGAAGGATAATAATAATATGGTGGTGGTATAAGATAGACAAAGTCAATTTTATGGAATGTGGAACCCCATATAAGATACCTATTATGATTATTAGTAGTTTATTGTAAATTTTGGCAGCAATTTGAGCGCCTTCCCAAACCTAATCCATTTAAAAATCTAAGCTGATAAATTACCAGGCAATGATTTGTGCCTTCAAGGCAGAACTTGACATATACTCTAACACTTCAGAGGCAGAGGAACCCTAGCTATGAACTTATTAATTTATCTGTCTATAAATAATATTTTATCAGTTTATTTTTTAATTACTGGAAGATGTATATGCTCACCAGAGAGAGGACAGAGAGATGGAGAGGGGAAAAACACCCTCCAATGTGGTGTGGTCACACTGCAAACCTTTCTCTATTTCTCCATCCTGTCAAGATTTTGAGTACATATGCACACGTACCCAAAGTGCTTTTCAAGTTATCAAGTCAAGAAAGAAAAGAAAGGAAGGAAAGACAAAGAAAGGGAAGGGGAGGGAAGGGAAATAAAGGAAGGGACTGAAGTTTTTCCAGTGGACATGTCTTAACCTTCTTCAGCTCAGCAATGTTTCTAAGTCACCTCACTGAGGCTCCCTCTGACAAGCCCAGCCCAGGAGTCCTAAGCTAAAAGATCTTCCTTCCTCCCTGCAACTCAGTGCCAGATTCCTGGCATCTACTACGAGTTTATTGGGGCATAACTCTACTATCAGCAAAGTGGGGAGTTGCTTAATGTTTAAATCTAATGTCACATGACATCTTCAAGCAATTAACTCTAGCTGCTTCAAAAGTGTAGAAAAAATAGTTATTTTAGAGAGTATAATTAAAATTGCTCTACAGTACATCAGTATAAGGACCCTTTTCATGGAAAGAACCCTACATCTACTCCTTAGCTTTCTGATCCTTTGGTGAATGGTTCTGCCATCATGTCCCACCCGACTCTGCCCTCCACTCCAAGCCCAGACAGTTGCTAGGTTCTTTCAAATTAGCTCTAAAATCCATCCTTTTCTCTAAGTCACACTAAATTTCTTTCTGTTCGTCCCATGAGCTCTGCTGTCTACTAGCTGTGCAACCTCAGGCATAGATCATTTCTCCGAGCTTGTTTCTTCATCTACTGTATAATACAGGGATAATAATAGAACCACTACCTCATGAGATTATTGTAAAGATGAAATGAGATTCTTAGTGTAAACCAATTCATAGAGCATTTGCATAAAGTAAGCAAGCTGAATAATAACTATAATCATTATCACCATCCTTTGAATACTCCATACTTTCTAGCTTCAGAACCTGAAATGTTGTTAACCTAGTTAGTTATATAATCTTTAGGTTTCACTTTAAAAATAGGTTCCTAGGGGAAACATTTTCTTAGTCTTCCTTCTTCCTACTCTACACTAAAACTGGGCTAGGTGCTCATTCTTGAGTGTATTTCCCTTAGCAACCCACACTCCCTTTTGATATCACTCATCTCATTTATCATAATAGGCTGTTTCCCATCTGTCTATCCTGTTAAGCCATGAGCTCCCTGAGTGCATTCTTTGTGTCTAGCTCTTGGTAACTAATAGTCAAAGCAGTGAAAGAACAGATGATGGTGAATGTACAACTCTTCCTAGTTGTGGAGCTGCTTTTTCATTGTTTTGTTTTAATCTGAAGACTAAGTATCACTATCTATGTGGTCTCTAAGTCTACAGATTCCTAGATCCTGTTGAGTGAAGAGCAGTTTATTATGAAATGAGCAACAAGGATCTCTTGGTCAGCCATAACAGTGAGCTGCAGATTGAGCCTCTCTTCTGGTTTTAAACCTTGGGAAAGGTGACACCATTGTACTCACTTGCTGATACTACAGATCTGAGGCTGCTGCCTTTTGTTTCCAGTTTTATACCTTAGCCTCTCCTCTAAGGGTAGCTCATGTTCTTGTACCCACTTTCTTGGACAGATGCAATAAGATAGCTTGAGCATAAGTGCTACAGAATCTAGGCCCTACTCCAAAATGTTGGACTTAGACTTAGACTCTGTAGCACTTAGTTGTTGGGGAGAGTGGGGACATCCATCTTCTGACTTGACTGGCTCTATAGGCTTAGAGTTGGGAATATGGCTTTGTTGGAGACATCTAGAGTAGGAATTGTTACACCCAAATAGAGGGTCAGCAGAGAGAATTTTAGTGAGCTTCACTCAGAGCATGAAGTTACCATTTATGGAGAGATTCAGACATCATGGACTAGGTGTTGCTACCCCAGGGACTTGGTAAAATTCTGTAACCTTGATTATTTCTACATTGCTGTTAATTTGTTACCCCTTCACAATTTCCCTGGGGTGATTAAAGAGAGAGAGATACAGACAGACAGAAAGGCAGACAGGTATACTCAATTACATGCAGGACCTGTAAGCTAACAGGGAATGCAGTAGCAAAGGGAGGAAATCCTGGGCAAACTTCAAGTCTAACATGGGATGAGTCAATGAGGGATAAACTGGTGGTTGTACATACTGAGAGGTAAGGAAAATGGGGAGTCTAGGCAATGGTGGTGTCGGGGGAGGGCCTGGGACTGTGTCTGTCCTGACTAGGGGCCCAATATACACATTCCCTGCCAGGTTAAACAAAACTTCCAACAACAATGGAAAATGAAAGACTAAAGTATCTCAAGGCAAGGAAGAAGAAAGACTACGGTATACATTCTATCAAGTGAGGAAAGACACAGGGGAAAGTTCTGAGAGGTGGCAGCTGTGATCCAGATGTTTTCCAGCAAGCAAATGAAAGAACGTGAAAAGTAAGCTATAAACTCCTCTGAGTAGATAGAAACAGCTTGTCTTACTCTGGCTGAGGATGAAAAGACCTGCAAATTGCACAGATGCCTAGAAAAGCTCGGAGTAGCAGACATTGTTGCCAATCTGATACTCATCTTCCTTCCTACTTCCTAACAGCAACATGGTCTTGTTCAGGAATTTAATCTTCACAGGGTCATTTTGCTTTATGGGAAGCTGACCACCTCCTCAACTCCAGGGGACAGTTTCAGCCCATAATGACAACCCCCTTCCCAAAGTCTGTGATGAGTTTAGCAAGAGTCCATGTTCCAAATCTGTGAACAGATAAGAGGGAAGACTGGGGAAAGGCTTCTGGGCTTCCCTGGCTTCCTCTATATATTGTCCTGTCTAAATGTAACACCTGGAACTAGCAGCCATTTGCCATGAGCCTAAGGAGGGGCCAATCAGGAAGTTGCAGAGAAGTCGAGCTGGAGCTCCGCTGTGATGCCTGGAGCAGCCTACCTCTGCACTTACTGTCTCAGCCCTGTGGAGTTGGGGCTTTCTTTCTTTTCTTTTTTAAAGAGATTTTTTTCTATAGGACATATGTGCTTGCTGGAGACCCAGAGACAGACAGAAAGTGAAAAATCACCTCCCGAGGAGATGGCCACACCATAATCCCTTCCCCTCCACTCTCCTCTTGAGATTTTGGGCATGCATACACACGCACCTGGCATGAGTTTTAAGGTCCCAGGTCAGGAACTCAAACCGCAGTTGACTCTGTGGGAGTCCAGTGACATAACCATTATGCCATCTGCTGGTTCCTGAGTTGGGGCTTTTTTATGTCAATAGCCCAAAGAACCCTAACCAATAGAGGAAGCTTTGATCTCCTCTACACAGAAGGTTGGGAGCAGTGGGCCTCAGTCAAAGCGTCTTTCTGGGCCAAGAATTTTTCAAATTGAGCCAGAAATCTCTGTGCGTCTCAGAGTCCCATTCTGTTCCCCTAGAACTTACTTTGCTCTATATAACATTTTGGGAATGAGGATAGGAGGGAAAAAAGTAAGTTGGGGAAATTTTCCTTGGAGATCCCTGAAATTAAGAGGAAAATAGACAAACTTACTTTTCCAAAAGTGCAGGTAGTGCTGAGGTGACAGGTAGGTGGCCTTTCCCATTGGATGATTCTGACTGAATGGAAAACAGGAGACAGAGAATCAAGGATGAACTATGGAGGGAAGAAGCCAGACCTGATGGGAGGGGCTACTGCTCCTCCTTTACACCCATCCACCTCCCCACTTTCCTGTATGCATCTGAGCGCAGGCCTGCCCTGGCCTGCCATCCTCAGTGTCCCTGCCCTCTGGGGCATATGCCACTTGTTCCTTTTCCTTCTCCTCTTGTAAGTTGCCTTGAATGAAGAGAAGAGTTTACATTTTGAGGCTCCACTCTGGAGGGGAGCCATCTGTTTTTCTCTGTCACCTGTTTACTATGGCTGAACACCAGCTGACCTCCTACCAGATCTGGGTCCTTAGTTCCCTGGGGTGAGGTCCCTGAAGCCCCTCACTAACTCCCTAGAGACACAGCTTCAAGACTAATTCTTAGGATATGGCTGCTGTTACTAAAAGCTCAAGTCATCAGAAGTTCCTGTGTAATAAATTCCCTGGGATTTCCACTTTGTTTTGTTGCAGTGGATTTGGTTTGAGCAATGATTCTCAACCCTATCTGCACATAGAGTCATCTGGGGGAGATTTTTTAAAAAGTAGATCTAAGCCAGAATCTTGGGGTGAGGCCTAGGTCTACAATATTTTAAAAGTACCCCACATGTTTTTAATGTAGAGTCCTGGTTTTCAGCCCTCAATCTAAAGAAATATATGGTTTCCAAGTATATATGTATATATATTTTTTATAGTATATGTGTGTGTACAGTATATATATGTGTATATATATATTTTACAGCATGTGTGTATATATTAATTTATATATTATAGTATACATTAATTTGTGTGTGTATATATATTTAATTTATAGTATGTGTGTGTATATATTAATTTACATATTGTAAAACATACAGCCCTTCCCATTCTCCTCTTTAAAATTTTTTTTTCAGATTAATTTTGAAATTTAGGTTGATTTCATACATGCTTGAAGCAGGGAAAAGAAAAAAAAACCTTAAGAACTATTGCTACCTATTGGCACAAAAAGAGAGCTTGAATTTACAAATTGTTACACAGTCAGATTGTTTCTTTATAGAGTAGTGCTGGTGATGAAGGAGTATAGAGAATCCACTGGAGGAAGAATTAGAAGAGTTTGAGATAGAATTAACCAGATGCACAAAGATGCGTAAATATGGAAATATTTTGTTATAAGAAAGCAGCTTTGTTAAAAAAAAAAGTGAATTTGTCTGATTATTATTAATATATTCTTATCATATAAATATAAAAAGCACCAAAAATTACCTGTTTTATCATTGCCCACAGATAACCATTGTTAATAGTTTCACATATATTCTTTTAGAATTTTTTATGTCTACCACAGAAACATACTTTCTAAAAAATGAGAATTATACTGTATACGTTCTGGTTTTTGTGTATATTTTAAAATTCACTTTGGCTCTAATACTGGGTTATTGAAAAAGTGATGACATTTTTTTCTATGCAAAAATGCATCATGGCTTTTCCAACAACCTAATATATTATGGATAACAATTTATCCTGTAGAAACCCTTTACAGTGATACCTATTATTTGATTAACTAATTTTTTATTAATGAATATTCCGTTGTTTCCAGTTTTTCATTGTTACAAGCAATGCTGCAATCAATTGGGGCAGGAATTCAGGCTCTGGAATCAGACTAGGGTTCAAAGCCCAACTTTACTACTCACTACATCCTTTAGCTATTTAAACCCAGTGAAGAGTGAGGAAAAAAATATATATACTCATCTTGTGGTTTAAATAAGAGACGAGTTATTGTTTGTAAGGAACACTCTTTGAGCTGCCAACACCATACTCAAGGGCCCTGAGATGTCTTAGAACAGTGAAATACATGTGGCTTGATCTACAGGGAACTTTTTGAAGCCATTACCCAGATTCTGTGCTGAAAATTTCTCCTCCTTGCCGCCCTCCCCTGTTGGGTGCGCCCATAGTAGTGAGTGTGAGGGAAAGGTAAAACAAGGCTGGAAGGTAGCACCATCATACTCACCAGGGTTGGCAAGGAGGGGATGGGTGATGAGCTGGGAGATTGGCCAGGCAAGTTCAGGGCATTAAACTTGGGAACAACAGCAACGCTGACCCTCCGGCGGGGCATATTCTGTGGGAAGAGAAATGATCAGGCTCATTGTCTTAGAGGCGGCAGTAGAAGGGCCTAGGAAAAGCCAACTAGTTCTTCATGCTATGACAACATTCACTAACTATTTTGGTTTTGGGTTGGTGATGCTGCTGGGAATTGGTGTGGAGAGTGGACCCCAGAATGGCCAGGGGGGATCCCAATCTTCTGTTGGTGAAGAGTGATCTCTCAACCAGTTTTATTCTAACTTATGAGATCCTGAGAAATAAAATGGAAATTACCTCCTCATCTCTAGCTAACATGCTGGATAGTGTAAAAACTACCTATAGCGATATTAAGGTTGAGCATCATGTTGTGATCGTTAAGGACTGTATAGTCAGGGAAACAATGAGCAAGAAAGGTGAGAAGTTGGGGCTAAGCTAGCATGTGTGGGAGCTGAAGAGAAATCCATTCAGGGATTTTTCTGGCATCCACAGCTTCAATAATGAAGATTTCTTGGAGGATCATAGAAACTCTGGTTGTGCTCTTCCTGGGAGCTTTAGTACTCCTAGAATATGCATACCTTTCCCAGTGTCAGAGACATTGACCGTGCCGTGCGAGGGACTCCATCCTCTGCAGCAGGAGGGAATAGAGAAGAGAAGTCAGATAAATTTCAGACAAGGCCAGCACAAAACAGGTGAGCACAAACTAAGCCAAGGCATCTATAGGTCACAACAAGCTCCATGAGAAGCCCAAAAGTCTGGGTGTTAAGGGCACTGAATGTGGCCCTTTACCCTCTGAGATGATCACCCTCAGAGGGGGAACTTTAGTGAACAAAACGTTTATCCTAACTCCACTGGCCACTCTAGGAAGTCCCAGTCCTAGACCTCTGCTCATCATCTGACACCAATATGCAATCTGGGTAATACCCTAAATAAATGTGTCAAAACTGCTCATGGCAATACCAAGGCTCATTGGGTCATTTCATGCTCATTCAAGCGATGTAAATACATTCAGGGAAGCTATGAGCAAGGAAGGTATGGCATTGCTAGAAGCGAAAACCTGCTGATAGAAGTGGTTTCAATATGTCACTACAAAATGATTCAGAACAAAGGAAGCTATCACCCAGAATTTTCTTCTCCTTAGTATATACATTGAATGATATGAATCATGTAAAACATTTAGCATCATAGCTGGATAACACTGCCATAAGGAAACAGCTGAATATGTACAGAGAAATGTTATTTGCAAGTTCAATCATGTTTGATTCAGTTTGACCAATATCATCTAATCTGTATATACATTTTTCATATACATATGTGTGTGTGTGTGTAGGTGTGTCTTGATATACTTTTATTTATTTTTACCATCTTATTTTATATTCTCTATTTTTATTCCTAACTCCTGTCTTCACTCATTGGCTTAGTAATTCTAGGTCTTCTCTTTAGTGTGTCTACTTTTTTAAAAATTTACATTTAATCACTAGATAGGTTTACATTCGACAACATTGCTTTTTCCAGCACAAATACAGTGCAATCAGTCAAGACAAAGGCATTACCATATACATTATCATCAGCAAATATCTTTTCATTTTTTTGTCAATTAAACGTATTTTTCCCATTCTCTCCCTCCATTACCCACCCCATATTACCCCTATCCTTATTGCCTCTAGTATCTACTATCTATCTAGTATTGCCCTCCCTACTACTATACCTTCCAAACTTTTTGTTTCTGCTGTAGAGCACAGACATTTTGTATATATTGAATGGGGACAAAGTCTGTCATAGTCTGACTTGCTTTACTTACATCAAGTTTTCCATATTGGTCCACTTTGTATCAAATGTCAGGGTTTCATTTTTGTTTTTATGGCTAAGTAGTTAGTATTCCATAGAGTATGTATACCACAGTTTTTCAAACCACTCATCAATTTTTGGATATTTGGTTTGATTCCATCTCCTAGCAATTATAAATAATGTTGCAATAAACATGTATGTGCAAGTGTTTTTCCCACCAAGGGTTTTTCTATCTTTTGGGTAAATAGCTAAGGGTGGAATTACTGGGTCGTACGGTAGTTCTATTTGTAGTTTTCTGAGGAATCTCCATATGATTTTCCACAGTGTTTGGACTAATTTTCATTCTCACCAAGGAGAGTTCCCTTTCACCACAGCCTCACCAGCACTTTCCATGATTTATTCTTTAATTTTAGCCAGAGTGGGATTAAGTGGTATCTCATTGTGTTTTTGATTTGCATTTCCCTTATAATAAGAGATGTAGAACATGCTTTAATATACTTTTTGGCCATTTGTATGTCTTATTTGGAGAGTTTTCTGTTTAGTTCATTTTCTACTTAACTTTTGAACATACCATTTGATTTTTAAATTAATAAAGGTCTTTATTTTTTTTCTGAGTAAACCTTTAAAAATTAGCCTCCTCCAACCTTACATCATTTTTCACTATTTATATTCTACATTATTTTTTGTTTTTTTTTCAAATCACTTATTATAATTTCTATAGTGAATGAATGCTTATTTAGAATTATTCACATGTTACCAAATGCTTTGATAACCAATTTTTCTTGCATCCTGGTCCTTTCTTTTGAACTCAATTTCATTCTTCCCTAAGTACATCCTTTGGCTGTTCTTTTAGGAATGGTCTTTGAGAAGTAAGCTTTTCAGTTGTCTAAAAATGTCCTTTACCTAGGCGTTTTTCTTTTGTGTGTGTGTGTGTGTGTGTGTGTGTGTCCATGTCCATCTTCTTTTTTTCCCAATTTTTATTATTTATACAGTCAATCGCTACACATAATTTAGATTGTAAAGAGACTTTACCCAGCACAATATACACCTCAGTCCAGCCCAGTTGAGAATACTATACACGTCATCATCAACAGGTGATAAACCATATCTGTGTCCCACAAATGTCTAACCTCTCTATTTTTTTCCCAAAATTTCCTTTCCTACACTCTTCCCACTCCCACTCTTCTTCCACTTTGCCCCTAGTGTCCATAGCAATTTTCAATGCTTTTATGTTCTCCAGTCTTTCAGTCTCTACCATAAAGTGCAGGCAGTCAGTATATGTTAAGTGAACACATACAATGTCTCTGTTTCATAGCCTGACTTGTCTTCCATATTTGTCCACTTTCTATCAAATGCCAGGGACTTGTTTTTTATGGCTTAATAGTATTCCATGGAGTATATGTGCCACACTTTTTAAATCCATTCATCTGTTTGTGGACATTTGGATTGGTTCCATGTCTTAGCAATCATAAATAATGGTGCAATGAATATAGATGTGCAAACTTAGCCCTCAGTCTTGTATACCTGTTTAACTGGTTTTATTATCTCTAGGTTGACAGTTATTTTCTCTTGGGTCTTTGAAGAGGTTGCTACTCCATTGTCTTCTAGTACTATTATTACTTTTGAGAATTGTCATTCCTTTATAAATAATTTTCACTCCGTGACTTCTTTAAAGATCTTGACCATGGCTTTACTGTCCTTCAGTTTCTTTTTGATATGCTTTTTTCATTTCTCTCTCATGGAATTCACCATGATTTCTGAAACCAATGATTCAAGTATTTCTTTACTTCCACAAAGAAGTAGCCATTCTTTCTTCCCCCAAGTCTCTCCTTAAGGACTGCTTACTGATTATATTTGAGACTTTCTTTTTTCTATTTCTCATACCTCACAATGTTTCTTTCACATTATTAATCAATTTATCCCTCTGAACTGCTTTTGGATAATTTCCTCAAATCCATCTTCCATTTAACTACTTTTTTCCTCAATTGTGACCAATCTGATTCAAATGTATCAATCAGGATAAACCAGGTCATGCTACAATAATAAACTGCCCCAAAGTATTAGTGGTTTATAACAACAAAGATTTATGTTTTGCTTATGCTACACATCCATTTACTTAGCAGGCAGTGGGCTCTGCCCTGCATTCCTCACACAGGGCTCAGGCTAAGGGACCTTCTGCTATTCTGGATCATTGATGGTTGTCATGTCAGGAGGAAGAAGCGTGGGCAAACTGTACACTAGTTCTTAGAGGCTTCAGCCATGACACATGTCCTTCTGCTCACATTTCATTCACAAAGTCAATCACTGGACTTGCCTAACTTCAAGGAGAATGGAAAGAGTAATATTGAAACATAGTCTTAATTACAATAAATACTACACCCACCATAACTGAACAGTGTTTTTAATTTCCTCTATTTCTCTATTCATATATTCTATAATTTTCTCTATTTCTCACTTTGAGAAATTCTATTTTATTCTTTTTTGATAATTGTATTATTTTATTTCTTCCATGAGAGAGAAAGAAATAGAAGGAGAGAGAGAAACAGACACTCCGACAGGGTCTTTACACTGCAGTCCAGTCCCAGCCTCGGTGAGCGCAGATCACAGTGCACCTGGCATGTGTAAGAAGGCTTCCAGACAGGAACCTGGGATCTTCCACATGGGTCCAACATTACAGAGCATCACATTCTGGCTGTGCCACTGCTGCCAGTCCCTGTATTCTTTCACTCTGTTTTTAATTAATTCTTTTATGCTTTTAATCATTTTAAAACTTTAAAATTATTTTATTATTTTATTATCTGATTATTTTATCTTAGGGTCTTAGGATATAATCTTATTATCTGGTGTGTCTGGTAATTCTTCTACCTGGTATATATTTTCTGGAGTATCTTATAATTTTATATTGTGAACTCATCTGTAGTGAGGTTTTCTGTAGATGCATCTTGTGTGTCCCAGATGCAGGGTGTGTCTCTCCAGAGTGGCCGTTTATTTTTGACAGTGTTCTTAGAGGCACCATCTTGCTGTTCTTTTCAAATTCTTCACATATTGCATCATCATTACTGTCACTTCAGGCATGGACTTTTCCTATGAGGAAGGAGAAAGTATTTTTTTCTACTAGAGCCCAGGGTAAGACAAAACTTCCTTGTTTGCTTCTCTACTGGTTGGTGACTGTTTTTCCTTATCCAGACTCTATCTAAAGATACAGTTCTTGGAAGGTCTTAATTTTCTGTGGAAATCGCAATGTCAATGCTGAACCCCGGGTACCTGATGACTCCTGTCAGATTGCATATGAGTGCAAAAGCTCACCTCCCAAATAACCGAGCTTGACATTTGTCCCCAAGGAAGCTGCAGGGTCAGCTTGGTTTCAGTTCTCTTTTCTTTTCTTGTATCCAAGTATTTCAGTTTCTTTTCTTGTGGATTCAGCTATTCTTTTAGACTAATGTTTGCTTCCTTTGGTCCAGCAGAAAATTCTCAGTATTTGTCGTCAAAGGATTTTAAAGTTTTCCAGCAGGCCAAAATATCAGAACCAGAAAATATTCCCTACATTTGAAGAACTCATGCAGATTAATAAAATACAAATCTTACAAGTGGACAAAATCATACTTAGAGAATTAACGAAACTAGAAATACAAATGTTTAATAAAGATTTGTAATGGCAAAGAAATACAAATTAAAACTATGAAATAAGCCACAATTTTGACCTATGAAAGTCATAAATATTTTTTAAAATAAAGAACAATAATGGTGTCAAAAGCATAATTAAATGAATATTAAAACCCTTTAAATGGACGTATTAATAGATTATTTGAAAATAATTTTATTTCAGAACCTTATAACTATTTCTTTCTCCTGAGCTAGTATTTGTCAATCTAGAAATCTGTCTTAAAGAAACAATCCAAAATGCAATAAGCCTGTTACATAGTCAGAAATTTTAAAAAATAGATGTTATTTTTAAAAATGTGTATCACTTTTCTTGAATCAGGGATATTTTATTTTACTATAGTCTTCAAAGTTTCAGACACAAAGATTGCTAGAAATCATGTAAAGGCTTAATAAACAGAACTAGTAGGAAACAGTCATAGCATATCTTATGTACATAGCTGCTTGTGGGTACTGGCTCCTCTGCACGAGCCCTAGCTGAGATATAGCTTAGAAAAACAACTGAAGGGGAAACAAATATCTGAAAAACATTTGTTCATCATTTGAGTCTCAGCTATTGTGTCCTTTGCCATTGTAATCATCTTCTCATCCCCCTAGGCTGACTACACAGTGTGCTCCCCATGGAAACACATCCACCTCTTTCACAGCACAGTTACACTGTGCCCTGACCTCCCCAGAGACTGGGAGCTTCTTTGGGTCTGGAAATGTGTCCTCTTTCTATATTCCTCTACCATGCAGAGAACACCAAGCACACTCCATAAATGTTTGTAGAATGAATAAAGGAGACTCATCCCATAGATCTTGGGTAAGGTTGTTTACAGGACACCTTGGACTTGCAGGGCTGTGATGCAAGGGCCCATATGCTAGGATTTCTTTGATGGCAACTTCCCCAACTTCTCACACAGAAAAGGGTGGTTTGCTTAAGGCCCATATGCATGTGAGTAAGGAACCATTCTGCCGAGATCCAAAGCAGGCAGTCTGAACTGTGTGTGTACTGACTTTGGACTCTGGGAAGTATCACTGATCCTCCCCAGGAAACTTGTGAAACCTCCTGTTTATAAAGGCTTCTCCATCTGTTATACTTTCTGTACTTTCCCTCCTCTAGCTCTTGGTAACACGGATGTTTGCATTCCACAGAGATTTCTGTTGCTGAAAGGCCCATTTTCTCCTGTTAGCTACCCTCCTCAGCCAGAGTCCAAACTCTGGCAGTGCCCAAGGAGAGATCCCAGTCCAAGACATTAGAATTTCCCTCTCAGACTGAGCAAGAGCCTCTTAACTCATCAGTCCTTACTTCAGTTTCTTTTTTTTTTAATAATTAGTTCATTTTATTTATCATCTTTTTTATTTTTAATTTGCTACAGGACATATGGACTCACCAGAGAGAGATAGAGACAGAGAGAGAGGGAAAGTGAGAAAGTAAGCCACCAGGTCCGGACTTGAACTGCAGTTGGCCATGTGGAATCCAACACCTTAACCATCTTGCCACCTGCTGGCCTCTACTTCAACTTTTATACTCCTCCAATATACTATCCACTGAGATGTCAGAGTAATCTAAAAATAAAATCTGATTACGTCACGTGGTGTAAACTTACCAGCAACCCTCCATGGCCTAGAAGACAAAGGCCTGAATTGTTAGTATGGCCCAATATATGATTCTGGTCTACCAAGTCTCACCCTCAACCTGTCACTGTTACACCCCAGCTTTGCAACCACATCAATTTGTTTCATCTTGTTTTCATTCCCACCCTTTGTCCATGCTGTTTCTTCTACCTGGGGTGTATTTCCCCTCTTGACTAGGGAACTCCTATTTTTACTTTAAAACACTGACCAGATGCCACATCCCTCTATGAAGCCTTTCTTGACTCAAGCAGAATTGGGTGATCCCTCTTCTGTGTTCCCATAGCAATTTGTATAGAACATGGGGGGGGGGGGAGGCGGGGAATACAAAACAAAAACCAGAGCATTTCTTTGAAACATTTGTCTTCCCCTGAGTCTGGTATTTTCTTCAGCAATATCCCCTTGAGCCAGGCTCTGACCCCAACCCCACTACCAGACTTCATCTCTCACCTGGATGATTGTAATAGCACCTTCATGAGGGCCCCCACCTTTGATTTGCCCTAGTAATGTGACTGCCATGGTGCAGTCAGGGGGAATATTTTTAAACTACATAGACAGTCATGTCATTTCCCTAATTAAAACCCTTATTTGGATCCCTAGTGCTTTCCCAAATTCCTTAACATGCATTGCCTCAAAGGAGGTCTGAAAGCACAAAAACAGAATCTGAGGTCACTCCCACAAAGTAGAGTGAGCTCTTGTGGCCAGTAGGTTTTGTATCTGTGGTTTATAGTGCCAGAGGTGAGGAGGTCACTTTAGGGCTGTTTCTGGTCCCAGCACCCTTGGCTCACTGGACCAGATACTCCAAGGCCCCATGTTCTCCACCGGGTAGGAGCAGGAAGCCTTGCTCCACCAGAAACAAGTTCTGGGGTGAGGGGGAGGGTTGCCTGACCACTCTGAGCCTAGCTGAGAGCCATCAGGGACCCACACTGCAGGGCCAAGATAAGGGCAGGAGCCAAGGTCCTTACCAGAAGGCCCACAGCTGCGACTTGAATTCTGATTTGCAAGTTTTTTAAACTCCATGAGCTCCGCATGGTCCTTCTCATATGTCCTCTTCAGATTCTCCACGTACTGCATCATCACTTCTGTTGCTTTTGACATGCGCTTTTCCTGCAGGAAAGAAGTGTGTGAGCCCACAGAAAAGTTGGAGGAAAAGTTCCATCAATATTTGTTTGCTCTGAGCTAGGCTCAGGGTTTGGAAAATTGCCAGGCTACAAGGGCCCATCAGAGGTGCCTCTCCCCCTCAGAGTTTGATGTCCGACATGTAAGCTGAGCAGTGGACTCAGGTACCTGTGCTCAGGGAGGATGAGAAAATCACGGCCACAAGGCTGCAGGAGGTGAAAGGTGGGAGAGGTTTGGTCCTGCTTCCTGAGAATGCATAAGGGGAGGCTTTGTAGAGACTGGATGACGGGTGTAGGGTGTGAGCAATATCTGGGTTATAGACATACGCAGGAGGGGAATCCAAGCCAGGGAAGTCCAAGAGGAGTCCAGAGGCAGAATGTCACAGGGCTTATATGAGGGGGTTTCAAGAGTTCATGAAAGGTGTGTATTATGAAAACACTGCACATACACTTGTACTTCAATTCCATTTTCCTGTCATCTTCTGGAGATAAGGATTTATCCCCCAGGCAGGAATTCTCTGGAGAGTGCAAGGGGGTGCTGTAGAAATTATGCTGGGGCATCAGGCATGAAGCAGGGCTGTCCAGCACACCTGCCCAGCATGGTCATCCAACTGTGTAGGAATCAGTAAATATCTGGGCATATGTGTAAGCAAAAGTGGAGAATCAGGACTGGGTTGCAAAGGACCTTGATGCAAGATGAAGGAATTGGGATGGGACTTACTCTGAAGAAAGAGAGGATCACTAGATGCCTCAAAGTAATGAAGTGATATAATCAGGCCGTGGTAGAGGTGAGGATTGAGGAATAAGACTGGTAGCAGTGACAGCAACAGGGAGAGACAGGACATGTGCCCTAATCAGTCCAGTGGAGTCAGCAAGGGAGGTGAATACTGAGCCCCAGAAGCCTGAGTCAGGAGCCATCTGGAGTCAGGTGGTGCCATGGGCAACATGCAGGGCAGGAACACATATGGGAGGGCTGCACTCAGGAGCACAATTTCCCTCTGCTCATCTTCCCCTTGAGACCCTCTGAGGACCTAGCTCAGGCCCTGTCTTTCCACAGAAGGACATGCCCAGTGACTTCTGGAAAAGGTCCCCATGGCCATGTGGGGCTTAGGCCAGCCACTTCCCTAGGGCCCTCCCTGTGCTGCTGCTTCCAGCTGGAGTAATTTCCTGGGCGACACTGCTGAGTCTACCCTTTCCCCTGAAGGACATAGGGTGGGACAGCCCAGAGGCTTGTCTTCTTTCATTTTACGGGAACTATTTGGGTTGTACCCCAGGAACATACTCTCCTGCAACCAGCGCAGCAGGACACAAGACCAGAACAGCAACAGGGACACTAATGACCAGTGCTTCATGGGTGTCACAGCAACCCTGCATGACCAACACCACAGAAGCTGAAGCCTAGGGAACTTGGTAACCAGCTCCAGGTCACACAGCAAATGAGGGGTGCAGCCAGGATTGGAGCAGGCAGTGCGGTCCTGGGACACTGTGTAGGAACAGGGTGGTGCCCTGTGTGTCTTGGGACTTCAAGTGGCTGAGAGAAGCCCACTGGGCCCGCACCCCAGCTGCACCATTCTCCAGCTACTAGCTCCTTGAGATTCCTGTCTTCATCTGGGGAAAAGAATATTTACTCCAGAGGGCTGCTGGGCAGATCAAATGAAATGAAGCAGTTTTCCTGAAAGCAAATGCTAGTTCCATGGAATACAAATAGATATTTTGAGAAAAATTAGGGCAGGGTTGGGGAAGTTCTTTGGTTAAATGCATTTGGAAATACATAGGGAATGTTAAAGAGGTTGCTTCACTTTAGGACTTCTCGAAGCTTTGATAATGCCAGCATGCTTTAGAAATCCCCAAGAAATAGCATGCAGTAGCCCTCACACTTGAGTGTCTGCAGAAAGCTTTACTGAAAAGCACCTTGAGGGTTTAATAGTCCACCAAAAATACTCTGAATACCACCACGATGATGTACAAGAGGATGGCTGGGCAAGAGGAAGTGTGTATCACTAGATGGTGTCTGTAGCTGCCACTGCCTCTGCTATTGCTCTGGTTACTGTGGGTGGTGCAGGCTGGCTGGCAAGGCTAGGCCTGCAAAGCTCACCTGGCGGACAGCGCCCACCATCTCAGCTCGGCTGGAGAGGCGGGCAGCCAGGCGATGCAAGACGGCGATGTCCTCTAGCAGCTTCTGGTAGGTCTCCCGGTGCTCACAGTGGTGCCAGAGAGAAGCTGAGGACTGGAGAGTGAGGAGGAGCATCACTTGGGGTCTTCACATAATGCAATGGATTGACTATGCCCAAAAAGCAATATGCTAAAATCGTAAACCCCAAGTTGATAGTACTAGGAAATGGGCCTTTGGGAAGTAATTAGATGAGGAGGTGGAGCCCTCATGAATGGGATTAGTGCCCTTATAAAAGGAACCTATGCCCAGATGAAAAGGTGGCCATCTGCAAGCCCAAGGAGGCCCTCACCAGAACCTGACCACAATGGTACCCTGATCTTGGACTTCTAGTCTCTGGAACAGTGAAAAGTGAATGTCTGTTGTTGAAGCCTCCCAGACTATTGTACTTTGCTATGGCAACCTGAGCTGAGATATACACCAAGCCTAGACTTGGTTCTTGTGGGCCTCATCCTGGCTAGGAGAAATGCTTTCCTCAGGGCCCGGGGTCACAGCTTCTTCTGTGGATTAGAGAAGCCCAATGTGGATCCTCTATACCTGAGTGGTCTGAAAGAAAGGGTCACATCCAGGCTACTAGCTCCTCCTGAGAAGCTCCTATGGTCTCAGAGGCCTTGCCAAGAGCCCTGGAGTATTCAGGCTTTTGGGTTCTCTGCCTCAGCTCTTCTCAGCTCTCTGAGGAAGACGCCTCGGAGTCTTGGCTCAATTTTTCATTTCAAGAGACTCCACTTGGTGAATGGGGGAAGTGTGATACCCAGCATGGCCCTAGGAGTTGGCCTTCCTTCAAGGATTTGTCAAATCAGGCTCAATTACCGTAATGGAAGCTTTGAAGTTTTCCAGTTCCTTCTCGGTGTTCTCCTCTGTCAGGTTGCGTTCTCTTTCTGCCTGGCTAATTCTAGATTCCAGGGTGTAGCTGTCATTTCTAAAGGCCAAGGACAGTTGCACAAACACGTTCTGTTGGGAACAAGAGTGAGGAAGAGGCGCTCGGAGGAGCTATTGCAGGAAACAGGTTGCAGGTGTGTTACTTGCATGGTCATTTTACAACAACCTCTGACATAGTCACCAAAGCAACCATGTGCAAGTGGAACTCACTCCACAGTAAACAGTAACTGCAGTCTATATGAGGTCCTTCCCAGAACCAGACCACATGCATTTTACTTAAAAATAATCAGAAAATAACATTTTGCTTTTCCTTAAATTTCAAGAAAATAACATCCTGTATTTGGGTTTAAATAAACTTAACCTAGTGCAGCAGATTGTGTAAGCAGTTTGGATTTACACTGGGATTTATTGCATGAGGGGGTTTCGGAGATTTTGCATGAGAATACTATATTTAAACAAGCCCAGTTTGAGATGTAAACCTTGTTGACTTCCTCACATCTAGCCTGAATATTCTAAATCCTACATCAATAGCAACTTTAAGTAGCTGCCAGAAGATTAAATAATGCCAGGTATGATTCTGCTAGGAAAAGTGTTCTGGAATATCTATCCCATGCAAAACTGCAGCCTGTAAGAAAGAACTTTTAAAAGGTAGTACTTGGGGCCAGAAAATGACATAGCAGTTATATCACTGGGCTCACACAGTTGATGGTGGTTCAAGTCCCTGACAGTGGCTTGAAAATCACACCAGGTATGTGTATGTGTGTGCCCAAGATCCCAGGAAGAGCAGAGAGAAAGGATTGTGGAGAGTGATTTTTCACTTTCCCTCTGACTGTCTTTGTCTCTCTGATTGGTAAGTGCATGCACCCTAAGGCAAAAACCTCTAAAATCAAACAAAAAACAATTAAAAAATTTGAAAATAAAGGGTAGTATTGAAGCTAGGCCTGTGGACTAGTGATAAAGGAAGCCCGACCCCTATATGGCCTACTACAGTTTGAATCCTAGCCTTGGCAGCTTAAAAGATATGCCAAGTATGTGCCCCAAATCCCAAACAGTTGAAGAAATGGAGAAGGGATTGCAGCATGATTGCAGCATGATCACGCCTCATTAGGGTGCTCTCTCTCTCTTCCTCTCACCCTCTCTCCCTTTCTCTCTCTGTTGAATGAACACTCCCTCTGGCAATTAAAAAATTTTAAAAGTGGGGACCAGCAGTTAGCGAAATGGCTATGTAACTGGACTCCCATGTAGTCGACTGCGGTTCGCATCCCGGACCCGGTGGCTTGAAACACGCTGGGCGTGTGTGCGTGCATGCCCAAGATCCCAAGAGGAGAATGGAGGAGAAGGGATTGCAGCGTGGCCATCCCCCCGAGGGGTGATTTCTCACTTTCTGTTTCTCTGTCTCTGTCTGGCGAGCTCACGCACCCTATAGTAAAACCTCTCAAAAAAAAAAAAATTAAAACGTGGTATTGATCAGAAATGGAATTCCTGGAATAATAGGAAACTACTAGGGAAGAGAAACAGACAGATGGTCTCCACACAGGAAGGAAGCAATGGTCTTCAGTTCTACAGCCTTTATCTGCACAGCCTGAGTCAAGAGGTAGCAGATTTATACCCTGTGGTCACAAACTCTGGCTGGGCTTCTGAAGTCCCTGTAACATGGCCCATAGAGGCAGAGAACCGAAGGCTCTAAACTGACTCAGTTATGACAATGATGGCAATGTTGAAAATTATTCCTTACTGAGCATCTATCTACCATAAGCCTCCCCTGCTATGAGTATCGCAAACCTTAGTTGCTTAATGCCACAACTCCCCTCTGGGGTGGGAATTTTAATACTCATTTTATAGGTAAAGAATCCAAACCAGAGATGTCATCTACTTGTTTAAGGTAACACAAGGAGTAGCAGAACCAGGAGGTAACCTTGGACTATCTGATTCCCAAACCTTTTGTCTTCCCATCTTGAGGACAGCTATGTCAGCATATACCAGAGGACAGGGCCAGGCTGATAAACTACTTGCTGTCCCTGGCCCTTGATTACAAATGTCAGCTGATGGGATTTGAGCTCACACCCTAGTGATGAGGACTCTCTGTCTACCTAGACCTCAGTCAAGTCTATGAATAATACTCAGTGCTTAGTTCTCTAGATCTGGGATATCCCCTTAATGACAATGTGACATGAAGAGTCCAGAATTCAGTTGGAACATGGTCAAATCTTGATTTTGCTAAGTGCTAGATTTGGGATGTTGGATAAGTTATTTTCTCAGAGATGATGGGAAGATCAGCCTAAGGATGGATTTGAGAGTGTTGTGAACTGTAAGTGCAAAGTCCCTGTACAAAGTGGTTGTTATTGTCTGTGGAAGATATCTCATATCGTCTGTCTTCCTCAACTTACCTGGCCCCACCAGCTACTCTCACTGTCTCACTTCTGATACATCCTCTTTGTCCATCTGCCCCTTCACCAGAATTAACGGCAAATCCCCTCAGATCACTTGCCGTCTCCACTGAGACAAGGACCAAGGAGTGTCATGGGTGGGTTGGCTAGACTGGATTGCTGACAACCCAGGCACTCACCCTGCTGAGCTAGCTTTCTCATAGCTGGAGCCTTCAGAATGTACCTTTTCCCTCTAGACCAAAGTTTGCAACTTGAAAAATTGACCATTTTTTCATAATTTTGAAATAAATCTGATACAGTTATGCAGCCTCCCAGCTTGCTCTGTGTATCCAAGCCATATATTGAAAGGATATGAACCATCTCTGAGGCAATATGGGATTTCCAACTCTGATCAAATTTGTTAACTTCCCCTCCCCCACTAAAAGTGGGAGTGAGGACCTTAGAGGTTCAGGAGGGCTGCTCACTAATGTCTGTGCAATCCCACAGTCACTCATCCTCAGTTTTTGGTAAAAAATGTTAGGGTAAGAAGCTGGAGGAAAGTAGGCTTTGAATAAGCCCGGTCAGACACAGGCACTACATTTCATAAAGCACTTGAGTCACTCACCTCAACTTCCTTTTCAGTGAGTGGAGGGGCACTGTGAAAAGAAAACACACACAAATGAACTTTGCCCAACCTATTAAATAAACCAACAGGCAACTCTGAATGACCAGATCGGCACAGAGTGGGTTGAGTAGGGGAGATGGAAAAGATGCACAGTGCATTTTGCATGTTGTCATCTGTGAGCTATTGACTATTGTGGAAGGAGCATGGTGGAAAATATTAGGTGCTGGGGCCAGGCCTCCAGAAGTGCCATTACCATCTCTGTGACTTTGGACAAGGTATCTAATTTCTCTAATGTCCAGTTGCTCATCAGTAAAATGAGAAGAATAAAATGTACTGTGTGAAATCTTACAAGGGATATATGTACCTATGTATTTGTGTGTGTGTGCATGTGTACATGAGGGAATCTTTAAAATTTTCAGGGGAGGGAGCAGCAGATGATATAATGGTTACAACACTGGATTCCCAGAGTCAACCGCAGTTTGAGTCCTGGACCCAGCAGCTTAAAACTCATGCTGGGAGCATGTGTGTGTGCCCCAAATCCCAAGAGGAGCCTGAAGGATAAGGGATTGTGGCATAGCCATCCCCACTAGGGGGTGATTTCTGTCTCTCTGTCTCTGTCACTTTGGTGAGCATATGTGCCCTATCGCAAAAATCTCTAAAAAAATTTCATGGAAAATGCATGTTATAAAAAACTTATGCATAAATTTTGAGATGTTTTACACCAAAATAATTTCAAACTTTAATTCTATTTTCCATAAACTTTTCAAAGTCTACTCATGTAACATGCATAATGCAGGAGCACTCAGGAAATATCAGCTATTACTACTATTAATTTACAGGCTTGCTGTGAGAAATTAATGAGAAGATACATGTCATGGTACTTTCTAAACTATACACATCTGAGTTACAATGATAACTTTTCTGGGGTTACCTCGGTCTGCAAAGCCAGACTGTTTTCCTATTTCTGGGATTGTAACAAAGGTGCATGTGGGCCAGAATATAAAAGGTAGAAAAAAATGGCCGGAGGGAGACCCTCTGATGGTGGGATCAGAGGGTCCGCAGGAGTCCCAGCTGGTCCAGAACCTCACAGAAGGTTCCTTGTCGTGTGTGGTTCCTTCAGCCAGGGCTCCTGACAGTCAACAAACCATTTTCTGTATGTTCACTCTGTGTTGCTGAGGCTACTGCTGTTGATAGTGACTAAAGCTGGCTTTATTTGCTCAGAAGCCTCGACAATGTAAATAATGCAAAGTCCTTTCCTGTGCTAGGGCAGGGAGGTTGGGAGGGGTGCTACCAGCGTCACAGGACCTGGCCACAGCATACCATTGATAAGCTTCTCAGGAAACACAGCTTCCTCCCTTTGACGGGTGCAGAGGGACCCCGAGAGCAAAGGTAGGGGTCAGCCATCTCTGCAAGGGGCTGGTTCTCACCCCTGATGAGGGACTGTGAGAGCCTTCCTGTGAGGATGAGGCGACAAGACTCCATGGCCATAAAGTCAACAGAGAACAGAACATGGATAAACAACTGCAAATATGTTCGGTGCTAACAGTTGTCACACTCCACCCATCAGGCCATTTCCTTTGAGGGTCAACATACTCTTCACTGTCAAGTGGAGCATATATGACTGTTTCAATGATGGATCAAAATCCACTAGTTTGTCTCAGACTCCTGGACTCATTTAGTCAGATGAGGTGAAATTTATGTATTTTCACAAATTATTAGACACACCTTTTTTTCTATGCTGATGACTCATATTCTATTTTTTGTTGTTTTGTTTTTATGTTGAGAACTGAGGACTCAGGGAAATACCATTTAGGTCAACAAGCCACATGACATGGCAATTACTGATGCAAACAGCTATGATTTGCAAACACACAGAGGCAGCTGGAGGCAGAGCAATGGGCCTCCAAAAGGACAGAACACCTTTTCATGTGATCCCTTGTAGCTCTTCTTTGAAGAAATGTCTACTGAAGTCCTTACAGTTTGAGAAATTGGCTATTCTTTTATTGCTATTGAGTTATACATTTTTTTATATATTCTAGAAACAAATCCCGTGTCAGATATATAATTTGTAAATATATTCTCCCATTCTGTGAGTTGCCTGCCTTTCACTTTCTTTTTTTTAATTTTTTTTTTTGAGAGATTTTCACTGTAGGGCGCGTGCGCTCGCCAGACAGACAGAGAGAGACATAGAGACAGAAAGCGAGAAATCACCCCCCAGGGGGGATGGTCACGCCGCAATCCCTTCTCCTCCATTCTCCTCTCGGGATCTTGGGCATGCATGCACACACGCCCGTCGTGAGTTTTAAGCCACCGGGTCCGGGACACGAACCGCGGTCGACTACGTGGGAGTCCAGTGACATAGCCATTACGCTAACTGCTGGTTCCCCCCTTTCACTTTCTTGTTGGCATTGTTTGAAGCACAAAAGTTTTTAATTTTGTTGAGGTACTATTTTTTTTTTAATCTTATTGCTTGTACTTTTGTTGTCTTATCTAAAAAACTATGGACAAACCCAAGGTCATGTTTTCTACTGAGTTTTATTTTATTTTCAGGACTATGATCCATTTTGAGTTAGTTTTTGTGTATTGCATGAGGTAGGGTTTCAACTTCACTCTTTTGCATGTGGCTATGCAGGAATCACAAATCATTTGTTAAAATTACTATTCTTTTTATCTGGAAATCTCTTTACCAAAATCTTTGCTTAAATGGCTCATTTTTGTCATTTGCATTAATTTGTCTCATATTAATTATTTCCTTATATTACCTTATAGAGGTCCTCAACCCTCTACTCAATGTTCCACTCCCATGTTATTCTTTATATGCACCCTGGTTCATTGTCTTCCTGGTAACTTTATTATCTCAAGTAATTTGTTTGGTTACTCAAATATTAGTATTTATTTCCTTACTTAGAATGTAAGTGCATGAGAAGAGTGACTGTATCTGCTTGTTCTCCATTCTAATGTCTGGCACAGAGTAGGCCCTCAGTGAATATTGACTAAATACCTATTTACTGCTAGTGTTGGTGTTTGGCCCTAGGTTATCTCATCCAGTGATATCACCATTGTTGTTAACCAATCACTGTTCATGTCTCTAACTCGGGTTCTAGCCCTGTTTTTTCTCCTGAACATATTCATCCTGCTGATCTTGTGACCTTCTTTACATGGTCAGATCTGAATCTACATAGTCCATATAGCATGTGAAATCAACTTTTTCACACAAAAACTCAAGTGTAATATTACCACATTTCTTTTGAAGTTCTGCCTTCCATTTTTTGTACAGTAAGTCTCATGTGACAGTTGTGTCCATCTACTCCAAGCTCTAAACCAGGACTAGAGAGCTCTGGGCCAAATCAAGGGAAAGTGCCTTTACTGAGGCTAGGAGCAGAGAGGCTGGTTTAGTGGTGGGGCAGGGAGGTTAAGGACAGGCAATCTATCTATTAAAACAATGCATGAGAGCTAATGATCTTAATCTGGGAGGCTGGATCACATGCTTCAGAAGGAGATCATAATCACCAGTCTTACAGGGCTATGCAGGCTCTTGCAGTTGGTAGCTGGTAGTTATTAACTTATTCAAGGAATATGAAATCACTCAGTAGCCTCTTCCTGGGTACACTGGGAGGTATAGCCTAACCATACTAATTATCTTCAAATTTACCAAGGAAAAAGAAGCTAATCATATTCTCAGCCAGCCCTGTTTCTTGCAAAATGAAGAACATCAATGGTTTTGGTACTTATGATAGGCTGTTGGTAAAGATGGTCTGGAATCAACTCATCCCAGAATTCAGTTACTAACTCTTATCACTTGCTTTCAGGTCATTTTGTCTCTCTGTTCCCTCACTACAGACAGACAATGCAAAAAATCCTCCTTTTCTTTTTTATTGGGTTATCATAAATACCAAAAGACATCCTGTATGTATACATGGTCCATAGTATGCCACACACTTGGGTGCTTATCTTTTGATTTCCTGCTTCTGGACACCCCTCTTGGCCTTCCATGAGGTAAAATAGCCCAACTCACATCCTCCTCCAGCTGTGGATACAGCCTGCTTCAAATGTGTTACTAGAACTTTTCCTGTTTGTCTAGTTGCCAAGTTCATTTGAGCATTTCTCTGATGACTGTACTTTAGTTGATTACAGTATAGAATTTGCACACATCACACATACTGGACAAAAGTTGTTCTCCCATCATATTTATCTCCAAAAACTGGGAGCTCTGTTACACCAGATTGCTAATGGCCTTTCCCCCACAAGAGTTCAAACATCAGGTTGCAGAGCTTGGCTGGAGCCCTCACCTATAGGTGCCCATCCAATTCCCATTGCTTACTAGTCCCCTCTCTTCTCCCCCTTTATACTCCAAACTGTTCACTTTTCAGCCCCATCCTCGAGGGCCCATTATGTGCTAACATTACCTTAAGTTCCTGCTCATACATAGTATCATTTAGCTGGCACAGTAACAGAGAACTTATGACCTTTATTGGTAAATCTGAAGCTCAGAAAGCAAAGGCACTTTTCCCCCATGGGTGGAAGAAGTCTGGTAAACTTTCCAAGCAATCTTTTTTCAAGTGGTTCTAAATTCTCAACCTCTCTCTCCCTGCAGATATCTGACCTAGACTCAGTTATACATAAATGGTGTCTCTGGGATTGAAGCTCACACCCCTTGGCTCAAAGCCTACCATCCTCTGCTGTTAGCCTCTGGTGAACCTTACTCCCTCCTGGGCTGTGCCTTATGCACTCCACCCACTCTTTTGGTTGGAAACACTCAACCTGTGTTTTTTTGTTTGTTTGTTTGTTTTGGATGCATTATTCCCTTTCTGGGCCACTAGACTTTAGCCATTCTGGGATCAAGAACTAAAACTGGTGGTCCTGTGTTCTATCCAGAACCTAATACAGGAGATACCAAATACAAGGCTTTCTGCAACCCACATCCTGCTTTTACCTTCCAGGGAGAGACTTGTGGACTCGCAGTTTGCGCAGCAGCACATCAGAAATATTGGGCATGACATCCAAGCCACTCCTTAATTCTTCCTCTTCAATAGCTGGTGAGAGTTCAGAAGGGAGCCCTGGAAAATAAAAAAGTGTTTACTCATAAAATGTCTAGCTTTACAGGAAAGGAAGAGCTTAAACTCTTACAACTATCTAGTCATATGCCAAGGACTTTTTAGTTGTCATCTTACTTTATCCTCATAACCCAATGAGTCAGAATGTAATAATCTTTTATTATAGGAGAGTAAATCAAGGCTCATCAAGATTAAGTAACTTGCTCAAGGTTACAGACCTAATAAATGGTATAGCCAGACTGCAAACCAAGGTCGACCTGTTCCAAATTCTGTTGGGTCGTCAGAAAAGTCATGATGCATTTTTGCATAGAAAAAAACACATTATAACTTTTCCAATGGCCCAATATTTCTTTCCATTGTTTCCACAGAATCAAAAAGGACTTGTGTCTGGTTTCTGGCAAATAGAAGCGAGTTGGTTGTTTGAATATAATGTTTAGAAAACCCCTTTCTCTTTGGCAAGCCTCTCACAAGGGTTATTGACCAATTCTTCTTCTTCAACTAATTCAACTGTTTGTTTTATACTGCTTGGAAATCAGCAACTGGTTTCACACTGTCATAGATAGGATAGACAGGGATTTTTCTGTAAAGTTAAGGTTGTTAGATCTGTTATATATCTCAGAAATTTAGATGCCTCCTAGTCAAGAGAGTCAATGGGCAGCCTTTGGTTATCTCCTAAAATGATCTTGATTCTATATTCTCAAGATAGAAAGAACAAATCAAGCATTCTCTTTCCCATACATAATTGGTCTGTTTGAAAACAGTTCTTATATTTCTCCAATGCATCCCTTCTCCAGTCTTTAGTCCAATTTTTCCAGGTATTTACTGTGGTCCACTATGGTTGACAGCCTCTAGACACCATCCTCTGCCTGCACACATTCTGATTTGTTGTTGTCCCCGAGGCCCAGATGTGATGGAACTCAGAACTGAGCCCAACCATATTAATAACAAAAATTTTTAAAAACCAACCACAATATACCAACAACTCTTTAATATAAGAAAAGGCAATAGTCTTTAAAAATAATGGCAAGATAAATATAGAAATTACTAGGAACAAGTGTAGAAGTCCCACCCTTTTTAACCCTTTGTTTCTTCCAAAAAATCAGTGTTAAAGAAAGATGTGAGAGGAGAAATTCTTTTTTAATTAAATATTATTATTATTATTACTATTATACATTTGATCACTATACATCATTTAGCTTACAAAGAGAATTTACCCAACGTAAAACACACTTCAGACCAGTCCAGTTGAGAACACTATACACATTATCTTCAATAGGTAATAAACCTTTCCTGTGTCCCCAAGTGTCTTGCCTCTCTATTTATCCCCCTAATTTCCTTCCCTATACTCTTCCTGAGAATAGAAATTCTTACAAAGAATTTACACAGAATGAGAAGGGAAGTGGACAAATGGGAGGGTAGGTGGTCTGCATAAAAGGTTCAGAAAGTTTCTCAAATAGAAGGTTCTCCATTCCCATACCAACACTTCAAAGAGAGAACAAACTGCCTGGACTGCCTGACATTTTGCTTTTCTTACTGATGAGAATTGGAGAGGAAAGACAGAATGATTGAACATTCTATCAGAGTCAATTATCTTGAACAATATGGAGGAATTAACCAGAAAGGAAGACTTAAAAAAAAAAAGGTAAACAAAGCAGACTCCTCTGATAAAGACACATGGAAAGCCCCAGCTGATGTTACCACCATGCCCTTCTTCCAGCTCCTGAAAAATAGCGGTCAAACTCTTCGTATTTTGTCTCCTTTTACCTAGTAGGGGAGTGAGTGGCTGCTGAGAAGAGATGAATGAAGTTTGGAAAATAAATAATTGGTCAGATTGTCTCTACAATGCTATCAGAAATTCATGAAACAATCTAAAATCCACTGTTACCCTAAGAGAATGAGATAATGTCCCCAATTTGTTGTAATAAACTCAAGTTTTGAATGATAAGCAAAGTTACAAAAAAAAAAAAAGAAAAAGAAAAAAGATCAGAAACCAAGTCTGTGAACATTACTGCCCACAGCTCTATCTGAACTTCCCCTTTTCCCCACCACCCAACAGCAACAAGCAAACATAAATATGAAATCCTCCACTAAATTGCTGAAGATGAGACAGAGAGATCTCAGATAATATAATATAGGAAAGAGTCAATGAAAATTAGCACAATATATTTGGGTAGAGAGAAAATCCAGGTAGAAATGTGCAGACCAAAAAGAAATAATACAAAATGGCATGGCAACAATACAAAAATACTACAGCCAAAAGAGGAAGGAAAGAAGGAAGGAAGGTAGAAGGGAAGGAAAAAGCAAAATATGTAGGAGACAGATGTCATGATGGAAATTTAGCTGCAAGAAATACATAAAAAATGCAAAAATGCATTTCTGTAAAAAATATATACCACAAAAACTTTGGCTGTAGAGAAATTAGAACATAAAAAAATAAGAAATTAGAGGTAAGGTGAGAAGATCACATATAGATGAAGAGGACTGCTCTTTAAAAAAAAAAAAAATTGTCAGAGGACACATGGGCTCACCAGAGAGAAAGAGAGAAAAAGTGAGAAAGTAGCCCTCCTCCCGTGAGGCACACTCATACTGCACTCCCTTCTCCATATATCCCTCCTTTTGGGATTTTTAGGCATGCACGCACATGCTACTCTGCACGTTTCTCAAGCTGCCTGTCGAATATGTGGGATCCATTTGCCTTAATCACCAGGCCATGGGCTAGCCTGAGTATTGTTATTCAAGGAAACAAATGAAGACCAAAATAAAGAAGTAATCAAAAAATCATAAAATATAGAACTAACCAATATATTGAAATGAAGGAATAAAACAGATATAGCTTCAATTCAATTTAGTAAGGAGGGTGAGAAAGATGGAGTGATCACAAAGACTACCAAGGAAAGAAAGATTGAAGAATTAGGTTGTTGGGAAAGTCATGATAGGGGGATGGGTACTTTCCCATCATGCGTCTATGTTTTTCTATGATGCAAAAATGTTTCATGGCTTTTCTGACAACCCAATATATAGAAATGAGAGTCTTTCTTTCTTTCTTTCTTTCTTTCTTTCTTTCTTTCTTTCTTTCTTTCTTTCTTTCTTTTTTTTTTTTTTTTGCTATATGGTGCGTGTGCTCGCCAGAAAGAAAACGAGAAATCACCCCCCAGAGGGGATGTCCACGCCATAATCCCTTCTCCTTCATTCTCCTCTTGGGATCTTGGGCACACACACACATGTACTGGCATGAGTTTAAGCCACCGGGTCCTGGATTTGAACCGCGGTCAACTACATGGGAGTCCAGCGACATAGCCATTATGCTAACTGCTGGCCCCCCAATATATAGAAATGAAATAATCAACCTGAAGTTGATTCACTGTTGACCTATTTATGGATTATGTTATCTCTGAAGTAATAAACAAATCAAATGGAACAAAGAACATATTCAAAGATACAACAAAAGAAAAACTTCCTTAGTTGAGGGGAACATGGAAATTGTAGGCTCCAGGCTGACAAAGCATACCATATTAAAAAAAAAAAAAAAAAAAAAAGATAAAGAAAACCTTCTCCAGATGTCCTAAGAGTAAAAGTAAGACATCGTCAGAGAAGGTGAGGGTTAGGGAGTGCTGGAAATCAACTGGTCCCAGATTTCTCTCAATATTGAATATAGTGGGGCCACATCTACACAGTTCT